CAGTATCTGAAGAAGGCCCCAATGGTGGAAAGCCCTGGCCATGCCGCCTGTATGAAAGAGAAGAGGAGGCTGACATGACTGGAGCAGAGGGCACAAGGGGGACAAGGATGGAGACACATGAGGGGCTGTGCAAATGACAATGAGTTTTGTAAACTACTATACGGACTTTGTCTTATTTTTTTTCTCGAGCTAATTTGAGGGTTGAAATCAGGAATGATGTGAATTGACATACTTTTTTTTAAGTATGTTTTTTTTAACTGACTTTAGAGAGAGAGGAAGGAAGAGGGAGAGAGAGAGAGAGACATGGATGTGAGAGAGAAACACTGATCAGCTGCCTCCTGCATGTCCCCTACTAGGGATCGAGCCCGCAACTCAGGTATGTACCCTCAGCGGTAATCAAACCAACAACCTCTTGGTGCATGGAATGATGCTCAACTAACTCAGCCACACCAGCCAGGGCCTGACTTATATTTTTAAAGACCACACTGGTTGCTATAGGGAGAGCAGACTTTAAGGGCCAGGGTGGAAGCAGGGACCCAACTAAGTGTCTGCACATTAGTCCTGAAGAAAGCCTTACAGTGGTAGAAGGGGTGAAGAGTGGTCAGAACTAGGACACCTTTTGAAGACAGAAACAATAGGATTTGTTTTGGAGCATGAAAGAAAGGTAGAAATCAAGGATGGTCTGAGGATTTGGGCCAAGAGCAATGAGCATGCAGAACCCATCCCAAAAAGTCTGTTACAAATGTTAAAGAGGAATGGTGAATTTTGCCTGAAACTGCTCATTTAGGGACCCATAGCAAAGATGGAAAAATGAGTTGTAGTGTACATAAGATATAGACAGACTGGTACTCAAGAGAATAACTTTTTCTGGGCTGGAAGCCTAAGAGAAATGCCTCAGAAAATTCATAATGAAGGTAGAGGGAAGGGTCTCATGATGTCATGGGTAATGTTCTCAGTGACATCATCATCATTAATGTCACCATCCTAGCTAACACCTTAAAGTACTTACTCTGTGTTCTATGCACTGTTCTAAACACACTACACACATTAATTCATTTAATTTTCACAAACCATGAGGTCAATAATATCATTTTCTCTATTTTACAGATAAGGGAATTGAGGCACAGAGAAGTCAAATAACTTTCCTAAGATCACACAGCTATTAAGTAGTAAAGCTGAGATTTGAACCCAAGCAATCTGGCACCATCATTGCTGCTTCTTAGATTGTCTCTCAAGGAAAGCAAATGAAGTATGGCTAAAAAGCATCATGGGCCATAAGCTTAGCTTCCTGAGGACCAGCCTGATCCAGGAGTAAGCTTAACTATAGCTATAGGCAGTGCCACAGTTTCCATATAGAGCCTTTGACTGAATTCCTCCCAGTGTACCAGCCCCATGCCAAGCTGCACAGCAGGCTGAGTGGAGTTTCCCCTCCCCTCACCCACCACTCTTAGGGCCTGTGGACAGGACACAATCTGAACAACTTTATCCAGCAGCCCTGCCTAGAGGCAAAGATGAGTTGCTCGAATGTGCCTTTTCCCCACTGAGGTTGAGGTAGACTGCAGAGGGTTTGGGGTAAGTTCTCTAAGGACCTGGGGTATCACTACTTCAGTTTGCAAGGCCAGCAGGGCTAAGAGCCCGGTGGTATCCTGTTATGTAAAATCAGCCTCTTTACCATTCACATCTGTGGGAGCTAGAAAGGCCCCACACATCTTATACCAAGCATAGACTTTCTTTAGAAAAAATTTTGGGGCCTGGCCGGGCGTGGCTCAGCAGTTGAGCGTCGACCTAGGATCCAGGCAATCAGGGTTCAATTCCCGGTCAGGGCACATGCCCGGGTTGCAGGCTGCAGCCGATCAATGACTCTCTCATTGATGTTTCTATCTCTCTCTCTCCCACTCCTTTCTCTGAAATCAATAAAGATATATTTTAAAAAAAAAAGATTTTGGGGATTGCTTCAGCCTAGGCCAAGCAGGGAATTGAGGCTTTAAAGTTCCACATCAAAGAACCTAATGGTGAAGATTGCAGCCTGGAAGGTGCTCTTTCCAACTTCCACCAATTGCCTGCATCACCCATAAACCAAGAATAAGCCCAGGGTACATTTGACTTTTGGAGCTGTCAATTCCTAGGGATGGCTCAAGAAAAACACTCCACTCCAGCACTGCTGCCCACTGGGCTGATGGTCAGGAGCCAGGCAACCCTGGTAGCAGGATGCTAAAACTAAACACTGGGGTTTCAGATGCTGAGCTTACACCATATTTCTTGCAGCAGTTCGATGCCAATACTGATTGCCTGGCAAGGCCACTCTTGTTCAGGTGAAGCTTATTGTGCCATTGACCAATACATTTACTTCCCGCCTTGAGAGCGTGCGACAAGTGCACCCAGCTTATACCAAGGTGGTCTGAAGTCAGAGATATAAGCACAAGAAAGGGGCCAGAGGATGCCACTGTTTTGTCAACTCAAGTTTTATCTTTGCTCCGTCTAAAGAACTGCAGTTTGCCCTTAATAATATGCTGCTTGGTTCTATTAGTTTACACTCACCCCAACACAACCTGGATACCTACTGTAAACCCAGATGTGAGCTTGGCAGATTGTACTATTTGTTCACAATTACTGGTTCCCTCTCCACTTTCACCACACTCTCCTGTAAGTCATTAATGCGTCCTATCCTATTGACATAGGGCTTAGTCATGCAACTGGCTTTGGCCAATAGACTGAGAGTAGACATGGGTTAAAGCACATGTAAGCAGCTTTCATTGCACATGTATAGTTTGTACTGCTTTCTGCATGAGAGCAGCATGACTAAGAAAGTGGCCACCCTTTCAGCTTGAGTCCCCAAATGAGAACTACCTGCTCAAATCCCTGTGTCAGGGCCTGCTTCTGGGAGAACAAAAAAACAAGATAGGCCAGATCTTAGACCCATTCATAGCTTTTACTCAAAGAAACCTGATAAACACATTGTGTACCAAAAACCTAGAGCTGGCTCTTCCTAGAACAAAATCCAGATGCCTTGGCTTGTACACCCACCCAACCCCTCAATACCACTTAGGCTTGGACCATAAGAACCCTCTCATCATTGCCCAAACACAGCAGGGCCCTTCATGGCTTTGTGTCTTTCTACCCACCTGCCTCCTATCTGGCTACCAGCCTCTCACTCATCCTTCAAATTGCAGCACCCAATGGGGCCTCTTCTGTGAAGCCTTCTCAGACATGGTAAGCTGACTTAGTCACTCCATCCTTCTCTGGGCTCCTACAACTCAGGTCACTCTCCTGATTATTGACCATACTGTGAACATATCAGTTTCTGAGGGACTTCAGACTGCTTAAGCCCAAGATACATGCCTGAGTCCTCTACATGCCCCCAGAGCCTGCATCTCATCCTTCATCTGTGAGGCTCCCTTGGAGCAGTTCACAACTTCACTGGAAAATCACCAAAGTGTCTCTCAGTCTTTCTGAGAGGGTTTGAAGGTGGCCCAGGCCAAAGAGGGTAAGTTGACTTTGCTCAGTCTTCCACTTTGTCCTAGGCATTTTTCCTGAAGGAAGAAGGCCATAACCCTGCAGACAGCACCAGGGGAGGGGAGGGGTGTATAGGGGGGAAGTTTAGGCATTCACCCAGGAAGACAGCCAAGTAATTCATCATCTTGCTTTTGTTTCCACCACAGATCAGACCAGAGATGTACAAAGAATCATCCAGTAAAACTTTCTTCAAAAAACCTAGATGTCTGAGTGTCACCTCCAAAGATCTTCCTTCAGAATATCTAGAACGAAGCCCTGGCATTTGTATTCTTTTCAAAAGTGCAGACATTTAATATGCACAACAGGATTAAGAACCCAATGGTTTATAAGGCACTGTGCCACCCACAAGATCCAGTCTGTTCCCCAGGTGACCCCAATGGAGTTGGAGCCAGATGTGCATACACCAGGAAAGCCCCCCTGCCCCCACTCCCTGCATATTTCCCTCATATGCTCATGGCACACACACAAGGAGATGGTCCTGGGCCTCTCTCCCTTCAGATTTCTTACCATCCTTAAATTGACTAACACCAAAGATAGAGCCAGTAAACCTCACTGTTTTACAGTGATACCCAACTGCTCCAAGCCTACAATCATTTTAGATTTCACTTGTTTGGAGCCTGGTAACAGAAACTGCTGATTACTGTATTCACTAAAATCCATCCCTCTTCCTAGGCACATGATAATACTACATTTTCCAGAATTATTTGCAGTTAAGCATGATCCTGTGACTGGGTTCTCTTCACTGGATCATGAGTGAAAATGTTGCAAGCCACTGGGACTACACCTTTATGACAATGGTGGGAACCTGCACTTTTGTGTAGGATATAGGAAACTACCAAGAACATCATTCCCAGTCTAAAAATGAGAAAAAGTCATAAAATCAACAAAATCATAACTTTTCTTCAGCTAATCAGAGATGTGGGGTCACAAGGCAATTAAATAAAGTGAATTACAAGAGAGGAAAATCCCTCCAAGGAGACAGAGCATGTGAACTGTTTCACCTTGCAAAGCATGGGGGAGAGAGGTGGCTGCCATACAAGCAGGTAAGAAGTCAAATGTGAACTAGTGTTAGTTTGGAATAGAAGATTTCACACCCACTCACAAGCTCTTATCCATGGTTCTCACAAGAAAGATCAGGCCAGGGCAAAAGACCAGAATGCATCTCCTCAGTGGTGAAGGTGTCCTGGAAGTGATTGCTGCTTGAGAATAGGCACAAGCCCTACTCACTTTCCCAGATACACTATAATCAAATCGAAAGCAATAAGCCATCGAAGAAGGGGCATTATCCTCCATATGGTACAGACAAAGATCTATTGCTTTGGGGGAGAAATAGAAGCTAAACCCAGCTATTTCTGGTAGACGGGTGGGAAACTGCCTCAACCTCAGGATAAAGGCAAAGATCATTGCTGGTGGAGAAGATACAGAACACAACACCCTCTCTTTTGGGGAAGGGTCAGGATCCTACATCAAGAGTAACCAAGGGTCTGCTACAGAAAACAGGAACTCCTTCCCAAGAACAACCACAGATATAAGACAGAGTTTTGGAGATAAAGAACTAGAAATCTCCACCCAGGAAACCAAGATGCACAGGGCTTGCCAAAGATTTAGGCTGGCTCCCCTTTATAAACCTAGCATTGAGAACAAGCAACATCAGTCTAGTATTAGTGAGAGACAAGAGCTCAGAGAGAGATGCCCCTCTGAGGCACAGGCAGGCAAGAATGGCTAAAAGCTGAGAGTGAACAGGAACATTGAGAAAAATCCTCTGGCAATCCCCTCAATAAAAGTACATGGTAACAAAAGCCTATTTCTGAAGAAATTGGAAGTCTGTGGTGCACTGAAGTAATAAAAAAAAACACACAAACCAGGTTCAGCTCCTAACTAGATTAACTGACTATTGTCTCTCCATATCAATTGCATGACAACCAAAGAAACATGTCTAGAAATAAAATTATTTACCTTAGTGCTTACTATTCCTCTACACATGCTGTCCAGTATTATTTAAAAATTACAAGATACACAAAGAATAAGAAAAACTCACTCCCAAGAGATATAACAATCAATAGATCCAGATATAAATATAATCCAGATGTTGGATTTTTCAGATAGGAAATTTAAAATAACCATGATTAATATATTAAAGAATCTAGTGGAAACTGTGGACCAATAAGATAGACAAATGAGGAGAGTGATTATAGAAATTGACTTACGTGGTTATGAAGTCTGAGAAGTCCTGCCATCTGCTGTCTGCAAGCTGGAGAACCAGGAAAGCTAGTGGTGTGATTTAGTCAGTCTGAAGGCCTGAGAATAGGGGGCCTTGATGATGTAGGTTCCAGTCTGAGTCTTAAAGCTTGGGCTTACGATGTCCTAGAGAAGGAGAAAATGGATGCTTCAGTTTAAACAGAGAGAGCCAATTCATCCTTCAGTCACTTTTTTGTTTTATTGAGGCCCTCAATGGATTGGATTATGCCTGTCCCTGCTGGTGAGGGAGATCTTTACTTACAGCAGTTTCCCCTTATCACGAGACTCCCAGTGATGTCTGAAACCACAGATATTTAAACCACAGATACTGAAGCCTCTATATATTATGTTTTTTCCTACACATACATACCTTTTCATTTAAAGGAAGCACTTCACAGCTTCTCTTTGGCATATTCGAATTCCCAGCATGACCACTCTTGCACTTTGGGACCATTATTATGTTAAAATAAGGGTGACTTGAACACAAGCACTGCTGTACAGTGACAGTGGATCTGATAATCAAGGTGGCTACCAAGTGACTAATGGACAGGAAGTGTCTACAGTGTGGAGATTCTGAACAAAGGGATGACTTACATCCCAAGTGGAAAAGATTGGACCATGCGAGATTTCATTATGCTGCTCAGAACAGAGCACAACTTAAAACTCATAAATTGTCTATTTCTAGAATTTTCCATTTAATATTTATGGATTGTGGCTGATCACAGGTAAGGAAAAACTGCAGAAAGTAAAATCACAAATAAGGGGGACTACTGTAAACCTACTAATTCAAGGCCTGATCGCCTTCTGAGACACCCTCACAGACACACCCAGACATAATGTTTTATCTGGGCATCCCTTAGCCCAGTCAAGTTTACACATAAAATTAATTATCACAATGCTTGAATAAATTGGGAATTTCAGCAGAGACATGACAACTATCAGAATGAGTCAAATTGAGATGATAGAAAAAAACATGATTTCAGAGATGGAGAATTCCTTTCATATGCTCATCAGTAGCCTGTACATAGCTAAGGAAAGAGTCCATGACCTTGAAGATACTGTCAACAGACTTTATCCAAACTGAAACACACACACAAAAGTGGGAAAACTGAAAAGAGAAAAGTGGGAAACCCACCACTGATACAAATTAAAACTTGAATCCATACAAATAAATGAATAAAGGAAAATGGTAAAAAAATAAAATAAAAGTAAAAAGCCCTTTTGAACTTACTTTAAATCAGTTTAACAGGTAATTGTACTAAAACAAAATGAATAATACTGCATTGTGGGGCTTATAACATATGTAAAAGTAAAATGTACAACAAAAATAGCTTAAGTAATGATAGGGATAAATGGGAATATACTCCTGTAAGATTCTTTCACTTTACATGAAAAGGTATAATATTCCATGATGGCAGATTCAACTAAATTAATAATGTATATTGTAAATCCTAGGAGAAAACTACAAAAAAATTTAAAAGAGGTCTAACCAATAAGCTAATAGTGGAAATAAGAGAGACTAATAAAAACATACGATTGATCTTTAAAAAGTGGAAAAAAGAAACAACAGATAAGACAAACAGAAATCAACTAGGATGCCAGTAGATTTAAATCCATGCATCAATAATTACAATAAGTACAGATTACATTAAAAGGGAAATATTGCAATATAGGATAAAAAAAGATCCAATATATGTTATTTACAAGAAAATTACTTGAAATATAAACATATAGATGACTTTAAAAGAATGGAAAGGGAAAAGGTATGCCATGGAAATACTAATAAAAGAAGCTACAGTGGCTATATTGATATAAGACTTAAGAGACTTTAGAACAAGGAATATATTCAAGGATAAGGAGAGACATTATATAATGATAAAGGTATCAATTCGCCAAGAAGATACAATCCTAAATATGTAAGCACTCAACAATGAATCTCCAAAATACATCAAACAAAAACTGATATAACTGAAAGAATAAACAAATCCACAATTATATAGACTTCAACACTCATCACTCAGTAACCTAAGTAGACAGGAATTGTATATATGAAGATCTGAACAGCACAATTAACCAACTTGATCTAATTACTCCACCCACACTTCAACAACAGAATATACATTCCTGTCAAGTACACAGGGAACAGTCACCAAGGCATTCTAGGCCATAAAACAATTTCAATAATTTAAACAAATTCAAGTCATACAAAATATGTTCTCTGAAACAGCAAATCCTTAAATAATTGGAAATTAAACAGTATATTCCTAAATAACCCATTGTTCAAAGAGGAACCAAAAAATTTGAAAATACTTTGAACTGGATGAAAATGAAGGCACAATATATCAGAATTTGTGGGATGCTGCTAAAACAGTCTTGGGGGAAATTTATAGTATTAATTTCTCATATTAGAAAATAAGAAAGATTTTAATATCTTAATATCAATAATGTAAGTTACTTCTTAGGAAAATAAAGGAGAAAATCTGATTCAAAGCCAGCATAAAAAAGGGCATACTGTCCCCTGAGCTTTGCCCGCCCTGAGCTCCTCTGCTCCCGGCCGCCAGAACAGAGGTAGAGCAGCCCTTGGCGACCCGGGGACTTGGGGCCTTGTCCGTCCCACTCCGAGTAAAGCACAAATGCCTGGAGGGTTCACATGGCAGGCCCAGGCGCTGCGACAAGTTTGCGCTTTGCTTCCCCAGGGCGCACCCCAGACTAATTTGTAGCGGGTTGATTTTCGGGTCCCACCAGGTCTGCCCGGGCCAGAGTCTGTCCCAGAAGGACCTTGGGCCTGGGGAGTTTGCCTCCAAGGTCTGTAGGGATGCAGCAGCCTGAGTTCTAAGTGCAAGTCAGTCTCCGTTCTTGAAATGAAATGACCCAAGCCCAGAGCACGTAGCAAATGACGACCAGAGGTTTCCTGGGTGCCGGTTTGGTGGAAAGTCCGGAATCTGCCTCTCAAGGGTAAAGGAAATTTACATTCCCGGGCTCCCGCTGGGCAGAATAAGTGCATCTAATGGGTTTTGGACTTGTTAAAAAGAACCAACCCCTGAGATCCATGGTAAACTGACCAAAGAGGAGTGCAGGAAACAGTAGAGAATCCTGAAAAAAAACCCCAAGTCACCCTTCTCTGTGCCCTTTTAAGGTTGACACAGTGTCTTAGGAGGCTAACAAAGAAGAGTAAAAATGAGTTTCCATAAAACCCAGAGAAGAGATGGTAAAACTCCTTCCTCTTTGGATCCTGTCTGGAGTCACAGCTAAAAAAAAAAAAAAATAAAGAAGAAACAGGACATACTAAGAAAAAAAGCAAACTTCAATACAGTTGGAAACAGAAAGCAATAGGGAAAACTGACAGAGCCCAAAGCTGTTTTTTAAAATGACAGAAATCTTTCAAGATCTATTTCCCATTTTATGATGTTTGAATCTCGTTTCTATATGCTTAGTAATTGATCTGATTGATCCGTCCATTTGTACGTTTTTAAAAATTCTTTATAAATATTTCAGAAACTTAGAAAAGTGTGTTGTGTGCTGCTCTCTGGGGCAAGTTTATCTGAAGTCTCCCAATATTTTCAAAGATTTTTGTCAGTATTTTAATAATCCAATCAATAACAATATATTGGTTATGAGAATGTAGGAGCCAACAGACCAAACCAAATTTATCTTTTCCTTCAATCTGATATATATGTAAGTAAATTAGATCCATCTGTTCTACCGAAAGGACTCAGCATTTAATGATTTGTGTGTGTGTGTGTGTGTGTGTGAGTGTGTGTTTAGTGTCCTTTGCTTTCCAGTTCAAAAGGATGGCATTTCACTATGGAAAACAGTATGGAGGTTCCTCAAAAAATTAAAAATGACTTTTGACCCAGTGATCCCACTTCTAGGAATATATCCTAAGAGTCCTGAAACACTAATCAGAAAGAATATATGCACCCCTAGGTTCATAGCAGCGCAATTTACAATAGCTAAGATCTGGAAACAGCCCAAGTGCCCATCAGTAGATGAGTGGATAAAAAAGCTGTGGGACATTTACACCATGGAGTACCATGCAGCTGTAAAGAGGAAGGATCTCGTACCGTTAGGGACAGTACTGATGGACCTAGAGAATATTATGCTAAGCGAAATAAGCCAGGCAGAGAAAGGCAAACATCACATCTCTCACTTATATGTGGAATCTAAAGAACTTAATAAATCAATGACATGGAAGCATAGATCAGACAGATGAATGTCAGAGGGATGGAGGAGGGTGGGTGGGTAGAGGGGGAGAGATTAACCAAAGAATTTATATGCATATATGCACAACCCAAGTACACAGACAATGGTTTAGAGAGGGACTGGGGAGGGGGGTGGATCAGGGTGGAAGGGGTCAATGGGGAGGAAAAGGGACATTTTGAACAATAAAAAAAAAA